TTTTTGAAACTGACTCTTGCTCTGTTGCCCAGGTTGGAGTACAGTGGCATGATCTTGGCTCACTGCAACCTCCACCTCGCGGGTTCAAGTGATTCTCCTGCCTCAGCCTCTGAGTAGTTGGGATTACAGGCATGCACCACAATGCCTGGCTAATTTTTGTATTTTTAGTAGAGATGGGGTTTTACCATGTTAGTCAGGCTGGTCTGAAACTCAAAGTACCTGGTACCCTGTTTTACTTCCTTCACTATGATAGCTTTCTAAGTTAAATCTCTCTTACTGTTTTCCTTACTGGTATTTTAATGAGACTTCAATTACATTGACATACAATGTTGCATCCAGTGTTTCAGAACTCCCTGGGGACTGGACCCAGGAATATATACTCTGGTCAATGGAGCGGAGTCTTCAACAGATCTTCCGACCCCTGGAAAGCACAAGGTCAGGCATTGTAGTTTCTGGGTGAGGACTGAAGGTGGTAGAGGTTTTAAAAAGGAGGAAGGAAGGGGAGGAAGGAGGGAGGGACAGAGTTCATTTTGTCTGTGGAGGAAGTTCTGGGTTTAAACTGGTTGAAGGATCATTTCTGGGTGGAATGGGAACAGTTTCCTCCCTTTATCCTGGTAGAGAAATTCTTTCTATAAGTAACTGATGTTGGGGGAAGAAACTTTTTTTTTTTTTTTTCCCAATTCTCCTTCAGGCCAAAAATATTTTGCATTTGAAATGGCCACTTTTTTCCTTTTCCTATTTCAATGCAAATGGAAACATTTCTCTTTATTTCTTAGATCAAGGCTTATGGAACAGGATTTGCCTGAACCATAGGATACAATTTCTTCCTCTACCTCCTCTGTTCTTGTGGCTCAGAAGACTGTTCTACGCTGTTGTGACTATAAGAAAGCAACACATTCTACTGACCACAGCATCTCCTTTAGATCATCATGCAGTAACTTCAGTCTGTGTCATCTTCCTGTCTTTTCTGAAGGAACAACTTGGGAATACCAGAGCCATAGTTTACCTATTTCCCACAAAAGGCAGTCATCTGTATTCAGGAACCAAGGCACAACCCTGTCTCCTTTTAGGCTATCAGAGCCCCAGAAATCAAAACATTTTCAGAATTTGACAGAACTTTCACCCTTACAATCTCAGAGCTCTTTTATCAACTCTATTTCTGAGCCTCTGAATATCTGTAAACAAAAAAGGAAAAAAAAAAAGAGGAGAGAAGGAGCAAGAGTCATTTAACATCAAATCATGAGCCAAATTCTGTTTTCAAGGAGAGACCACAACTTCCAAGGTGGGCTCCGTTCAAGCTCTCTCCTTCGGTCAGAAGGGAGCTAGAAGGACATATGTCTGAGAAGGTTTTCACTTTGCAGCAACAAACAGTACCTTTACCTGTGAGGAAATCATGGGCAATGCTCAATTATTTAACTGAAGTACAAAAAGGAGTCGCTGAATCAAATAAACTCCAAACTCGGTTATCTATGCCCATTCATCAAAACACTGAGCAAAAGGTTAACAAAAATTCCCCAGACCTTCCATCATTTCTGCTTCATGTGAATGCTGAAGTGGGATCTGGAACAAATAGCACAGAAACAAAACTTTTCCAGTCACTTATCTCAGGCAAGCAGTTACAACCTGGGGATGGCCCCCAAATCCTTGGATCCAAGCCTTTAGTTACATCATTGGGCACTCTACCTCTGAGAAGTTTAGGAGTTAATGTAATTCAAGAGGAAACTGCTTTACTGAAGAAAGAGCCAAAACACATACTAGAGCTTAGTATAGAGAAAAGGGTCATAGGTTTTCCAGAAAAAAGGATACAGCAGCACAAGACACAAGTGACTAATGTGGACTTGACACCAAGTCTACCATATCAAGTCAAGGACAGCATAAAGGTAACTCCATTGGCATTACTTCGGGTCATGGATTCAATGGGGATGATCCCAGAATCACATTCAGAATCTGTGGGATTGTTCCCACAGCTGCCAAGTCAAGTTGTGAAACCAGTGGAAACTGAAAACAATGAGCATAACCCCCAAACCCCCAAATCAAGTCATTCATTCAATGGAGGCAGCCCCAAGGCCAAAGCACCAAGTTATGGAATCAGAGAGGATGGCCACAAGATTATTGAATCAAGTCACAGATAATATGAAAGTAACTCCTGGGCCGGGTGCAGTGGCTCAAGCCTGTAATCCCAGCACTTTGGGAGGCCGAGGCGGGTGGATCACGAGGTCAAGAGATCAAGACTATCCTGGTCAACATGGTGAAACCCCGTCTCTATTAAAAATACAAACAATTAGCTGGGCATGGTGGCACGTGCCAGTAATCCCAGCTACTCAGGAGGCTGAGGCAGGAGAATTGCCTGAACCCAGGAGACGGAGATTGCGGTGAGCCACTCCAGCCTGAGTAACAAGAGTGAAACTCTGTCTCAAAAAAAAAAAAGAAAAAAAAAAAAGAAAGTAACTCCTGTAGCACTGCTTCAAGTTATGGATTCTATGGGGATGATTAACAAATCACATCCACATATAGAATCAGTGGGAACGACTCCAACACCACAACATCAAGCCATAGAGTCAGTGAAGATGAACACATTATTGAACCATCAAGTCACAAAACCAGAAAAGATTAAGGCCACAATGTGCAGTTATGGAAACTGTGGAAATGATGCCAGGGCCACAGCATAAAGTCATGGAATCAGTTGGCATGACCTCAGGATCACAAAGTCAAGTCATGGAACAAGGAAAGACTATTCCAGGGCCAATATGTCAAGACACAAAATCATCGGAAGTGATCTCAGCACCATTACATAAAGTCATGCATTGTGCGAGAGTTAACTCCAGTAGCACTATTCCAAGCCATGGATTCCATGGGGATAATTCCACCAGCACAGCCACATGTTACAGAATCTAGGGGTTTGACCCCAGGTTCACAGTTGCAAGGTAGAAGATCTGTTCATCTGGTCCTGCCACCAGAGTTCCAAGATATAAACACTGTGGAATTGACACTAAGACTACCAATGGAAGACACAAAATCTGCGGAGTTGACCCCAAAGACATGGTTACAAGATGTCAGATCTGAGAAGATAGCCCCAGTACTATTACTTGAAGATGTGAAAACTCCTCAAATGGTAGAATGTAGGAGGTTAATTCCTGAGACACGTGTGCAAGGTGTGAAATATGGGGAATTGGCCAAAGGGACAGAGCTTCAGGCAGTAAAAGCTGCAGAGATGAGCCCCAAACCAAATGATCAAGACACAGAGCCTGAAAGATTGACCCAATGGCCTCAAGCCTCAGAATCTTTAGAGATGATCTCAGAGCCAGGATATCAAGAAAAAGAAGCAAAGTTGACCTCTGACACTTGTCACCAAGTGGAAAAGTCTATTGGGTTGACCCAACCATCTTTAGGAACTACCCCAGGGCCACTGAGCCAAATTTCAGAATCTGTGGAGATGAGCTCAGTGTCATTCCAAGATAATCTTAAGACAATGCACCAACTTGGAAAAGCAATGGGGGAAACTCCAGTGTCACAACACACAACAAAAGAATCTCTGGATTTGATATCAGGATCAGAGATACAAAGTGTGAAATCAGAGGTATTGACCACAGAGCCACAGCCCCATATGAGGTTTGTTCATTGCAATCTAGGGCCATGTTCAGAAATTACTGAGTTGTCAGAGGCACCCTCCATGTCAGAATATAAAGACACAGAAACTGTGGGGTTGGCATTGCCTCAAGTTGGTAAGACCTGGGGAGTTATCCCAGTACCACCAGATTCAGAAACAGGAGTTCTGGAGTTGACTCCAGGACCAGGCATGCAATATGAGAAATCAGAGCCACTAACTGCAAAACTTGAAATCTGTGGAGTTAACCAGTGAGTCATCTCCATTAGTGATAGTATCTAAAAAGTTAATTACAAAACCAAAACCACATGTTATCAACCTGACCCCAGGGCCACAAATCCAGGGAGGAAAGTCTATGCAGTTGGATCTAGAGTCACAGTTGCAAGATATGAAACATGAATTTAATCCAACAGTCAACTATATGAGTGGTAGGATCAGAGGAGATGATACGAGAGATACTGCTACAAAGTATGCCATTGGAGGATTTGACTAAGAGGGCAGAGCTCCAAGATGTAAAATCTGTGGATATAAATCTAGGCCCATGTCAGCCAAGTGTCAAATCTTCTGGAATGACCCCAGGGCCACAGTTGCAAAGTGTCAGATTTTCAAAGGTATTTCCAGGGCCACTTCTTCAAGGAGAAAAACCTGTAGATTTAATCTCACGATCCTTACTTTATGGTGTGAAATAGGATGAATTGTCAGATTCCCCAGTTCAGGACATCAAATCATCAGATTTTATTCCAGACCTAACACCTCAAAGTGTCAAATTTTTACAGCTGACTCCAGAACCACAACCTCAAGGTGTGAAATTTGTGGAACTAAACTCAGGACTAGGCTTGCAAGATGTCAGATTTTCTGATTTGATCCCAGGGTCAAAGAACCAAGGCTTCAAACATATGCAGCTGACACCAGGAGCTCAGCCTGAAGATATAAAGTCTCTAGGTTTCGTACCAGAGTCATCTTTGCAGTTAAGCCAAGGGCCACATGTTGAAAACATGAAATCTGTCTACTGAAGGATCACAGTTTCACAGCATGAAATCTGTGAAACTGACCTCAGAACTACCATTTCAAAATGTAAAATCTGAGGAAGTAAACCTAGGGCCTTTGCAGCGATATCTCAAATTTTCTGAATTGGCTTCAAGGCCAAAGCTGCAAGGTGTCAAATTTGGGGATCAAACTCCAGGATCAGTGTTTCATAGTGTGAATTCTGTAGAGGTGGTCCCAGAGTTAGGGCTGCAAGATTCCACATTAGCATAGATGTCTCAAGGAACTCAAAGCATGAAACAGAAAGGGCTTAACCCAGAGCTGCAGCTACGAGATGTCAAAATTTTTGATTTAGTACCAGGAACTCAACCTCAGGGTGTGAAATCATTAGAGTTAAACTCAGGGCCACAGCTACAATGTGTACAATTTTTAGAGTTGACCCTAGGGCCAAAGATGCAAGGGGTACCACCTCTGCCAATGGCTCCAGGGCCAGAGGGGCAAGGGGTTAAGCCTGAGTTGTTAGTACCAGAGCCACTGTTTCAAGATGTAAAATATGTAGTAGGCAATTAAGTGTCAAGCCTTGAAGTTGAAGTTTCCAGTAAATTAGTCTCAGAGCCACAAATGCCAGATGCAGAATCCATGGAGTTGACTCTGGGGCCACAATTGCACAGTGTAAATCATTCTGAGTTGACTAGAAAACCATAGTTACAAGGTATGATATCTTCTGGATTGATACAAGGACCACAGTTCCAAGATGTAAATCCTGTGGCAGAGATCCAAGTCTTAAAACTTCAAGGTTAGCTAACCCCAGAGCCACAGCTAGAAGATATGAAATCTGTGGAATTAATCCCAGGGCTACATTTGGGAGATACGAAAACTAGCAGTTAATACCAGAGCCAGAATTGAAAGATGTCAAATCTGTGATGTTAACCCCAGAGCCACAGGCAGGAGGTGTAAAACTTGAGGAGGTAACCCCAGGCTCAAAGCTCCAGTCTGAGTTGCTGACCTCAGGGTCACAATTAGAGGATATGAAATCTGTGACCTTAACTCCAGGACCATGCCTGGAAGGGATGAAATCTATGGAAATATCTCCAAGTCCACAGCTGGAAGGTGGGAAATCTGTGGCGATAACCTTAGGGTCACAGAGAGAAGATGTCAGAGCTGTGGAATTCATCCCTGATTCAGAGCTTCAAGGTGTAAAGTCTGAGGAGTTGACTCCAGGCTCAAGAATTCAAGATTTTAAAACTGAGGAGTTGGTCCCAGGTACACAGCTGCAAGATATGAAAGCTGCAAAATTAAAATTTGGGCTAAAGATGCCAGGTGAGAAGTCTATGGCTTTTGCACCATAGCCATTGCTTCAAGGGGTTAAATCTATGGAGACACTTCAAAGGCCTCAGCTACAAAGCAAGAAACCTGAGGAACTGACTTCAGTCCCACAAATGCAAGATATGTAATTTGTAGAGATTACTCCATGTTTAAAGCTTCGAAGTTTAAAATCTATAAAGACTCAAGATCCACATCTGCAATGTGTAAAATCTGTAAAGTTTGCCCCAAGGCAGAAAAGACTGGTAGTAAAGTTTGTGAATATAAACAGAGGACAAGAGTTTGAAGAAGTAAAACCTGTGGATTTAACCCTTGAGCTGGAACAGGATGGTCAGATATCTATACACTCATCAGAGCAGCAATGTGTGAATTTTGAGCAAGTAAAGAGAGGGTCTGAGTCAGAAAGTGTAATGTCTTTGGAGTTAATTCCAGAATCAAAATCTGAATGTATAAAATCTGTAGACCTCAAGTCTGACCTACGGTCAAAAGGTATAAAATCATCAGAATTGACTCCAGAACCAAATATGCAAGATATAAAAGCTAAAGAGTTCAAACATGAACCACAGTTGCAAAGTCTGAAATCTCCCAAGTTGACCCCAGGACCACAGTTGCACCAAGCAAAACCCTTGGGCTCAACTGCAGATTCACAGCTTCAAAGTGTGAAAATTGTGGAGTTAAAGAGCCAGAGCTTGGAAGAATTAAATCTGTTCAGTGGATAACAAGACCTGAGTTCCAAGGTGTAAAATCTGTAGGACTAAATCTTGGGCCACAGTCTCGAAGTGTCAAACCTGCAGAGTTGAAACTTTCTGTACAGTTGGGAGATATGATAGCATCTAAATTGGTTCTAGCACCAAAACTTCAAGGTGCAAAACTGATGGAGTTTAACCTTGGGCCACAGATGCAGTGTATAAAAATCTCTGAGTTGTCTTCAGGACCTCAGCTGCAAAAAGGAAGAATACTGGCATCAACCTCAGAGCCACAACTTCAAGATTTGCAAACTGTGGAGTTAAACCAAGACCCACAACTTGGCAGTGTGAAACTTCTGCAGTAGATACTAGGACCTGAATTCCAAGGTATAAAATTGATAGTGTTAAATCTTGGTTCACAGTCTCGAGGTGTCAAACCTGCAGAGTTGAAGCCTTCCATAGAATCAGGAGGTGTAAAGTCATCTCAATTGCCTCTATGGCCAAAACTTCAAAGTGCAACATCTATGGAGTTTAACCTTGGGTCACAGTTGCACTGTGTGAAAGCTCCTGAGTTGTCTCAAGGACCACAGCTGCAAAAAAGGAAAATTCTAGCATCAAGCTCAGAGCCACAACTTCAAGGTGTGAAAACTGTGGAGTTAAACCAAAACTCACGGCTTGGAAGTGCAAAATCTGTGCAGTGAATACCAGGACCTGAGTTCCAAGATGTAAAAACTGGAGGGCTGAATCTTTGTTCACAATCTCGAGGTGTCAAACCTGCAGAGTTGAAATCCTCCGTAGAGTCAGGAGGTATAAAATCATCTGAACTGATTCTAGGGCCAAAAATTCAAGGTGCAAAACCTGTGGAGTTTATGGGCCACCGTTGCAATTTGTGAAAACTCCTAAGTTGTCCCAAGGACCACAGTTGCCGAAAGGGAAAATTCTGGCATCAGCCTCAGAGCCACAGCTTCAAGGGGTAAAAACTATGGAGTAAAACTAAGACTCATAGCTTGCAAGTGTGAAATCTGTGCAGTGGATACCAGTACCTGAGTTCCAACATATGAAATCTATGCTAAAATGTGGTTCACAATCAAGCTGTCACACCTGTAGAACTGAAACCTTCAGTACAATTAAGAGATGTGAAGTCATCTGAGTTGACTCCAAGGTAAAAGCTCCAAAGTATACCACCTTTGACATCACTCCAGGAACATCAGTTGCCAGGGTCCAAAACTATTTATTTGAAGTCTGGGTTACAGTTGAGAAGTGTGAAATCATGTGGCCCAATTTCAACATCAAATCTCCATGATATAAAATCTATGGCATTCAAACTTGGGCTTCATTTGCAAGATGTGAAATCTTCTGAGTTGACCTCAAGACCACAGCTGCACAAAGTGAAACCCTTGGAGGCATATCCAAGAACACAGCTGCAAGATATGAATTCTGTAGTGTTTACAAAAGAGCCACAGTTTTCAGGGGTTAAATATGGAGTATTACACCAAGAGCTACAATTACAAAGTAATAAAACTGTAGCGCTGAACTTCTTACTACACTTGAAAAGCATGAAATCATCTGGGTTGGCTCATCAGACAAAACTTCCAGGTATGAAATCTGAGGAGCTTAGGTCTAGGCCACAATGGCAATGTGTCAAATCTTCTAAATTGACCCGTAAGACAAAGTCCCAAGACATGAAGTTTATAAAGTTAAATCCCAGCTCACAGTTGAAAAATATCCCACATTCAGATTTGACCATGAAGACCGAGATTCAAGGTGTCAAATCTACGACTTCAAACCTGGGCCACAGTTGCAAGGAGTGAAATCTTCTGAGTCTATATCGAAGACAAAGCTTCAAGAAGTGAAATTAGCGGAATCCAACTCAGGCCCACAGTTGCAAGATTTAAAATCTTCTAGGTTGATCATGGGTATAAAGCTTCAAGACATTAAATCTATGGATTTCAGTTCTGGACCACATTTACAGAATGTGAAATCTTCTGAAATGATTCCATGGGTGAAGCTTCAGGGTGTGAAATCTGTAGACTTCAAACCTAGTCCAAAGTTACAAAGTGAGAAATCTGATTTGACCCCGGGGAGGAAGTCTCCAGGTGTGAAATCTGTAGAGCTGGAATCAGGCCCAGAGTTATAAGATATAAAATCTTCTGATCTGATCATGGGTATAAAGCTTCAAGATGTAAAATCTGTGAAGCTCAGTTCTGGAAAACACTTTCAAGATATAAAATCTTCTGAGGTAGTCTCAGGGACAAGGCTTCAAAGTATGAAATCAATGTATTTCAATTCTGGACAACAGATACAAGGTGAAAAATACTCTGGGTTGATTCAACGAACAAACTATCAAGATGTAAAATCTGTAGAATACAACCATGGTCCAAAGTTACAAGGTGTGACATCATCTCAGTTAACACTAGAGACAAAGCTTCAAGGTGGGGAATCTGTGGAGTTCAACTCAGGCCCACAGTGGCAAGATACTAAATATTGTAACTCAATCAAGGGGATAGAGCTTCAAGACGTAAAATCTAAGGAGTTCAGTTCTGAATTACAATTGAAGGTATGAAATCTTCTGAAGAGATCCCAGCGAAAAAGCTTGAAAAAGTGAAATCTGCAGAGCTCATGCCTAAGCCAATGCAACAAGATGTAAAATCTTTTGAATTAGCCGGGCGCGGTGGCTCAAGCCTGTAATCCCAGCACTTTGGGAGGCTGAGGCGGGTGGATCATGAGGTCAAGAGATCGAGACCATCCTGGTCAACATGGTGAAACCCCGTCTCTACTAAAACTACAAAAAATTAGCTGGGCATGGTGGTGCGTGTCTGTAGTCCCAGCTACTCAGGAGGCTGAGGCAGGAGAATTGCCTGAACCCAGGAGGCGGAGGTTGCGGTGAGCTGAGATGGCACCATTGCACTCCAGCCTGTGTAATGAGCGAAACTCCATCTCAAAAAAAAAAAAAAAAAAATCTTTTGAATTGTCTCTAGGTACAAAGGTACAGGATAGGACATCTTTAGGGTTAAAAACCTCATGGTTACAAGATAGAAAATTATTTATGTTGACACCAGGGATGAAGGTGTGAAATCTATAGAATTCAATCCAGGGGCAAAGTTGCAAGATATGAAATCTCTGTTGATAAAGCTTCGGACAGTGAACTCTACAGAGGGCAACCATGACCCAGAATTGCAGGTTGCAGAACTCTAAGTTGGCCTTGGAAACAAAGATTCACAGTGTGGCACCTTCTGAGTTCAATACTGAAAAGCAGCAGCCAGATGAGAAATCACATAAATTGAATCCATGGCCAGACCTTCAAAGTGTTAAATTTACGGTGTTCGATCCTGGGCCGCATTTGCAACATAGAAAACCTTCAGAATTATGTTCAGGGACAAAACTTCAAGATGTAAAATGTATGAAATTCAATCTTCAGAAACAGTTGTAAGGTGTGAAATCTGAGTTGCACTTTGGAACAAGGCTTCAAGATATACAATCTTTAGATTTGAACCCTGGGCCTGAGCTTCAAGGTATGAAATGTAAGGTGTTCTGCCTTGGACCACACTTGCAAGATGTGAATTCTTGCAAATCTGCCAAGTTTAATCCTCGACCTGAGCTTCACGATATGAAATCTAAAGTGTTCTGCCTTAGACCACATTTGCAAGATGTGAATTCTTCTGCATCCGTTCCAGAGCCACCACCTCAGTGTGCAAATTCTATTGGGTGCAACCATGGGCCATCTTTGCAAGGTGTAAATTCTTCTGCGTCTATTCCAGGCCCTAAACTTCAGTGTATAAGCTCTAATGGGTTCAACTCTGGGCCAAACTTGCAAGATATGAATTCTTCTGCATCCATTCCAGAGCCAACACTTCAGTGTGTAAATTCTATTGAGTGCAAACCTGGGCCACGTTTACAAGGTGTAAATTGTGCATCTATTCCAGGCCCTAAACTTTAGTGTGTAAGTTCTAATAGGTTCAACTCTGGGTCAAACTTGCAAGATATGAATTCTTCTGCATCCATTCCAGAGCCAACACTTCAGTGTATAAATTCTATTGAGTATAATTCTAGGCCAGATCCACAAAGTGTGAATTCTTCTGGATCCAATCTAGGGTCCAAACTTCAGTGTGTTAATCCCAATGGGTGCAACCCTGGGTCAAATTTGCAAGGTGTGAATTCTTCTGTATCCACTCCAGAGCCACGACTTCTCTGTGTAAATTTTATTGGGTGCATTCCTGGGCTGCATTTGCAAGGTGTAAATTTCTCTGCACCCATTCCAAGGCCAAAACTTCAGTGTGCAAATTCTCTTGGGTGCAGCCCAGGGCCACATTTGCAAGGTGTGAATTCTGCATTCATACCACAGCCACAAGCTCAGTGTGTAAATTCTACTGGGTGCAACACAGAACCATATTTACAAGGTATGAAATCTCCTGAATTAACTCCAGTTTCAAAACTTCAAGGTATGAAGTGTTCTGAATTGAACACAGGGACAGAAATTCAAAGTGAGGCATCTATGATGTTCAACCCTAAACCACATTTGTAAGATTTAAAATCTGATTTGACTCCAGGGTCAAAGTTTCTACGTGTAGCACCTGTGGAATGCAACTCTGGGCCACAGGTGCAGTGTGTGGGTTCTTCTGAGTTGAATCCAGGGCTAAAGTTACAATGTGTAAACTCTATGGAGTGCAAACTTGAGCCACACTTGCAAGGTGTAAAATCAGTGTCAAAATTTCAAGTTATGAAATCTGAGTTGCATCCAGGGCCAGAGCTTCAAAGTATAAAATCTGTTGTGTTCAGCTCTGTGCAATTTACAAGATGCAAAATGTGAATTGATTTCAGGGACAAAGTTTCAAGATATAACACCAAAAGAGTTCAACTCTGGCCCACAGCTGCAAGGTATCAATTCTTCTGAGTTCAATTCAGTGTCAAAATTTCAATGCATAAATTCTATCAACTTGAATCCACGGCCACAGATAGGAGACATGAAGCCCTGTGAATTGAATCCTGGGTCAGAATATCAAGGCACAAAATCTGTTCTGTTCAATCCCAGACCACACTTGCAAGGTGTGAAATCTTCTGAGTTAGCTCCAGGGACTAAGTTTCAAGGAGTCCAATTTTGGGGGAAGCACCTTGGCTCACAGCAAGCTGTGCAACCTGCATTCACTTTGGGTCCTTAGATAAACAGTACGAAATCTGAGGTATTTTTTACCAGAGCCACTGCTTAAAGATGTAAAGTCTGTGGACATAAATAAGAAGCCATTGCTTTATGATGCAAATACTGCAAAAATGATTTCAGCCTCTGAGCTACTGGACTTAAAATATGAGGTATTTACACGAGAGCCATGTTTTCAAAAAGCAAAATCTGTGGAGTTAAAACCAGAACCATATCCTCAAAGTGTGAATTCTGAGGAGTTGCATTCACACCTCAGGCAGCATAGTGTGAGATCTAAGCTATTTGTATCAGAGCCACGTTCTCAAGAGGTGAAATCTGTGAAGTCAACTCTATGGCCACAACCTCAAAGTGTAAATTCTTTGATATCATGCTTTAGGTCATGCTCTGTGGCCTTTGCACTGAAGCCATGTTTTCAATATATAAAACCTATGGAGCTGACACCAGGGGCCCAACAGTAAGGTATAAATTATCAGGAGTTGACTTCAGGATGGCAAGATGTGAAATCAATGGTGTTGGCACCAGAGCCAACTAGGAAGTTCTCATCAGGACCAATGTTGACCAGTGTCAGATTTTCAAATTTGTCTCCAGAATCACAGCAACAAGGTGTGAAATCTTTGGAATTTACTCTAGAGCCAAAGTTGCAAAGTGTAAAACATGTGAAATTGTCTTCAGTGTCTCTGCAGCAAACTATAAAATCTGTGGCATTAGCACCAGGGCCACTGCTTCAAACAGTGAAATATGGGAAGCAGACTCCAAGAACAAATGATCAAATCATTGCATCCTCTGAAATAATCCCTAGACTGGGCATCGGTTCGCAAAATATGCAGAGATGATCCCACAGCCAAAGTATCAAGTCCCTAAATCTGCAAATTTGATTTCAATACCAATTTATCATGCCACAGAATTTTCAGAAATGGAGCAAGGATTGGCACATAAAGGCATAGATTCTATAGAGAAATCTGTGGGGTTGACCCCAAAGCTAACAGGCAGAGCCAGGGAATCTTTAGGGATGCTGCTGCAGCCAGATCTTCAAGTACCAAAATTTGTTGGTCTGACTCCAATGCTAAGGAATCAAGGCTCAAAATTCTTAGGATTACCTCCAGAGAAAAGCCACCAAATCCTAGAAACTATGAAAATGCTCTCTCAGCCATGGCCCCAAGTTAAAGATTTGGGGCAGTTATGTATAAAGCCACTGCAGCAAATCGTGGAATCTGAAAGGATTACCCTAGAACTCAAGCATTACTTTACAGAAGCTATGGGGTTGACCACTGAGGAAAGGATACAAGCAAATGAATTCTTTGGAATGACCCCAAAGCCAAGAAGTCAAGACCCTGGATTTGCAGAGAGATCCCCAAGGCTCTGTCCTCAAGACTTAGAACCTGTGGAGGTGATCTCTCAGAAAAGATTGCAAAGGGAAGAATCTCTGGTATTGATTCCAAAGTCATTACATCACGTCCCAGATTCTGCTTCAGGGATGACACCTGGGTTAGGACATCAGGTTCCTGAATCTGTGGAGTTGACTTCTGAGTTAGAAGTGCAGGTGGAGAAAACTTTAGAATTAACTCCCAAACCACAACCATCATGTGAGATATTCAGAGATAATATTAGGGTTAGTACATCAAGTCCCAGAATCTGTAAATCTGAACTATAAGCAATGGCTGCAAGTAGAGGAATCTTTAGAGGTGCCCCTGAAGCAAACAAGTCAAGTTATAGGACATGAATAATCTTCAGAGCTCACCTCTGAGGCATGGCAGCACAGGGAGGTATCAGTGTGGCTAACGAAGTCAAAGAATCAAAGTATGAAATCTCCAGGGATAACCCCAGGACCATTGGATCAAATTGTAGAATTCATGAGGATTAGTCCAGAACCACTGGATCAAGTCACAGAATCTGCAAGGACATAGCTTCACGTTGCTCAGTCTGAAGAGGTAACCCTTGTAGATGTTCCAAAAGTTGTTCAGTCTGAGAAAGGGACCCCTGGACCACCATTTCAAGTTGTAAAGTCTGTGACAACACCACGGCCAACCCCTCAAGTGGTAGAATATATTGAGTTGGCTCCAAAACTGCAGGATGTGAGACCTTCAGAGCTGCCCTCAGGGCCATGGTTACAAGATGTGAAATCTAAGAAATTAATCACAAAGCCAAAACACCAGACTGTGGAAACAATGGAGTCGACAGGGCTTCAAACTGTAAAAACTATGTTAATCCCAGGGCCACCCCCTTCAAACTGTAAAATCTGAGGAATTAGCACCAGGACCAATTCCTCAGGTTGTAGAACCAATAGGAGTAGCTCCAGAATCGAATTGAAGCAATAAATCCTGTGAATTTACTTCCAAGGCCACATCTTCAAGAACTGATAGTACCTGTAGAATCAACTCTAAGGCCACATATTCAAGTGAAATCTGAAGAGTTACCCTCACAGCAAACATCTCCATTTAAGGAACATACAATATTGACTCATAAACAAGGAGTTCAGGCTGTGAAATCTACAGTGATAGAAATAGAGCCTCTAAAAGTTATGGAATCTGAGGATTTTAATCTAGGATAGGTGTGTCAGAATAGGGACTGTGAGAAGTTAACATCGGACGAGTTACAAGTGGGTACTGCCTTCTCTAGGTTCCTACAAAACTCTTCCACCTCACTTATGTGAAGCTCTGTCAAAACAGCATCTGAATTAGGAGGACTTTGGGATTCTGGGATACAGAAAGTATCCAGAGATTTGGAGGTAAAAAAAACCTTGGGACAGATATTTTGCAGCGTGTAGAGACCAATAATCTAGACCCTACTGTGATGCAATCTTTAACTCTTCCTTTGGCCCTTCATAATCAAAGCTCTGATAAGACAACTAACATTGTGGAAAACCCATACCCTGAGATTCCAGGAGTAGATGCCATATCTAAACAGAAAACTAAGAGGAAACTAATGGAGGAGCTAGAGATCTCACTTCAGAGAGATCTGCCACAAAGCTGGAGATCACTATCTAGGACATTCCAGGCAGAATCAAGGGTCAAAAATCCCTCATCAAGTCATTCCTGGGCAGATAACACAATGTCTGGGAGAGTCTTGCCTGGAGGCAGCAACTACCAAGAAAATACCTCTCCACTATGCTAATGCTTGGGAATGTTTTAGGGACCACTATGGAAAGGGAGCTTTGTTCTCAAACGTCTCTAGCAGAACAAGGCACTGTTAATCTTTTCAGAATGTATTTGTGATTCCAGCTGAACTGATGGAAGCTTCCCAGAGGCTGCCAGAGAAAGGTCCTTTACTATTTCTCGGCCTTCAGTGGTCAAAAACTAACTGAGAGACATACTTCATGTTACATTCATAAGAAAATAACAGCCTGAAAAATGTGGACACATCGCTCCACATCTTCCATAATAGAGCAATACTCTGGGACAAGAGTGGTAATAAAGAAAACAAGTTCAAGGTTCAGTGGTATATCCCAAGAAGTCATTCAGCATATGCCTGTCACATGTGCAGGGGGTCAGCTTCCTGTCCTGGTAAAGTCAGAGTCTTCCATCAGCATATTTTA